TTAAGAAACACCTTAGATAATTGTATTTTGGTTGGACTAAAGAAATATTTGGAGCACAAGTTAATTATATGTTTGTATGCAAACTTTACCGAAAAAATCCAAAAATCTGGAAAAAAAATCCGAGTTTTATTAGTTTGGTTTGATTTATAAATTTAAAAATTCGACGCAATGGTTTGGTTTGGTATTTGAAAAACCCGAACCAACCCGAGGTTGAAAACTTGAATTTTTTTGAATTTTATTAGTTTGGTTTGGTTTATAAATTTAAATTTTTTACACAAATGGTTTGGTTTGATATTTGAATTTTGAAAAACCCAAACCAACTCGGTCATGTACACCCCTATATGGAATGATGCTTGTTGCACTCACTCCAAACTACCACATTGCTCTAGTGTTATGGACACTACTTGTTATTTGTTGCAATAAAGATACAATTGACTTGTAATACAAACTTATGGTTTGTTTTGATAATTTTTAAAACTTATGGGTATAAATCATATTTTCTAAAAAAGTAAAATATATTTCCCAAATACTATGGCCAAACACATGATGAAATTTCACCCAAATTTTCATCCAAATAATATTTGCCAAAAATATTTGGAAATTTATGGCCAAACGCTAGCTTAGTATGAGTGATATATAGTAGAATTATCATTCTATTTATTACTTTAAAAAATGTATAAAATTAATATTTGACAAATAAAAATTAAAAAAAAATCCAAATATATTAAGAACCATTTTTGTCATTTTCTTTAATTTTTAGTTTGCTAAAGGGGCAGAAAATTTCATAGGAAAAAGTTGGAAAGGACAAAGGCTATTGCCAGACACCAAAAGTGCATAGGTGTCTGTGCTGTATTGAAATGTGTGCCAAGTGCATAGGCTTTTAGTTCAAGTTTATTTTAAATTATCACTAGATAAATTTAAAAAGAAAGTGAAATTCATATATAGACATTTATATTATAAGTTTTAAAAATGAAATTATGTGATGCCCCAGTTTAAAATTAGGATTCCTATATCAGTAGATGATGTTGGGTATATATTAAGCAGATCTTACCAGTTAGCGACGTATTTTAAAATTGTGCGGGACTAGGCTCAAAGCGTACAATATTTCTAGTGGGCTGGGCGGTTACAAATGGTATCAGAGTCACTCATGTGTCAGGCTTGTAGATGTGACTCAGAGTTCAATTGAATTTTGGCAAATCACAGTAAGACGAGACAAATCCCAGTACTGAGTATAGGTAAATTTCATACAGTAGGGCAAATCTCAACGAGTACGCTGAGTCCATAGGTGTATATGTGACGCCCTAACTTAAGATTAGATGACCACATTGACAAAACACATGAGAGATGTTCAGTATATAAATAAGCAGACTTTATCAACTAGCGACTCGTTTTAAAACCATACAAGCCTAAATCTAAAGCGGACAATATCCCTAACGAGCTGAGCCATTACAAATTAGCTAGCTATTTCACCTTCTATATATGAATAGCTAATTTCATATAGCATACTTTTTGTACAAATGATAAAATAATATATTTTAAT